AGATGTGGAGTAGCCCAGCAATATTAGGAGAACTCAGAAGTATGCTGGCCCTCCTTGAAATGCCTGCTTTTTATTCCATTTGTGATGTTACTATTTTTTAAAAAACGGTTCATTGAAAAAATAAAAATATACAAAAAAGTACATAGTAGAAAATATTTAATTACGGAGTAGTTTTCAAAGAGAAATTTCTGCCCTGATAACTGTGATGGGCTAATGGATTGTGTTTTCCTCTTTTCTTTTTTTTTCAAAGTATCTGTATCTTACAGTTGACTGGATGCAGCTGTGGGTCTCTGTTTCAAGTTTCTTATCATGAGAAAGACTTTTGGAAGTGAAAAATACACTCAAGCAATTTAACCAAGAGGTTTCAATAAATGTTAGTCATGTTTTTCTGTTTCAGTGCATTCAAATGTGACTAGGAAAAAAAGTTTCAATGAATTTAAAATGTAAAGAAGATTAGGATTTTACTGCCACATTTTATTGCAGTGCTGATAGCACCACTAAATTCCATTTTATGGATTGGACTCTGTTGTGCTGGGGAATGGGGATTCCTACAGAATATGCAAACCCAGCAGAAATTAAACATGGAGATGTGCATACAACCAGCACAAAGTGGCTGACGTCTCGTATGACCTTTGGGTTCTGTGCAAAACATCAACATAATCTCACAAATCATCAGTCATAGTGTCATTGTCCCCATATTGTTTGAGTCTATTTCCTAATATATTTAAACTACTCTGTTAAAACAAATGTAAGTGCCAAGTTCCATATCTAACCACAAGGCTCCATCTTAGGCCCAGTACTCTTCAATATCTGCATAAATGACTTAGATGAGGGAATACATTCAATAGAAGGAGAACTCATCAAATTTGCAAATGACACTAAGCTGGCAGGAATAGCCATCATCCCAGAAGACAAACTCAGATCTTGATAGACTTGAACAACAATATGAAATTTAATATGGAGAAAAGCAAGGTTTTACACTTAGGCGGGAAAAACCTAAGCTACAAGTACAGATTAGGTGAAACCTGGTTCAAAAACAGTAACTGTGAGGGGGACCTTGGAGTCCTAGTGAACAATCACTTAAATATGAGCCAATTGATGAAAATTAAAGGAGAGAAAAAACAAGAAACAATTGATGGCAACTAAAGGAGAGATTTAACCTGGAATTAAGGAGAAACTTTCTGACAGTGAGAACAATCAACTAGTGGAACAGCTTGCCCTTGGAAGTTGTAGGAGCGCCATCACTTGAGATTTTCAAGAAGAGATTGACTGCCATTGGTCAGAAATGGTGTAAGGTCTCCTGTTTGTGCAGGGGGTTGAATTAGACCTCCAAGGTCCCTTCCAGCTCTATTCTGATTTTGCTTCTGATTCCTTCTTTATTCCTAGACTTCTCAGACCAATATCTGAGAAACTATGGCCTTCCTCACAGATTTTCTCTCTCTTTCTAGTAGATAGCTGGAACAACTAAATATTCCTTGAGTGAAATCCTTTGTACAAAAACTCTGTCTTAAAGTAATGGTTTTTTATCCTTCCTTAGGTTTAAAATAGCATTTCTGGCTATCTAAACTGGCTAGTTTCTTGCATTTCCTTCCCTTCCTTTCCAAATTGATGAAAGCTGTGAAACTTTCAGCCTGGGTAGACAATGTGGTAGTATCTCATTTGCTCCATCCATCAGGGTCAATCAGAAAGAATTATGAGAGTTTAGTTTAATATTTAGAAAATATACATTTCCTCTTGTAGTAGCCACTAGGTAATAAATAAAACAAATCTCTTTCCTGCTGAAAGCTGTTTTTTATGTTTGCATTTTTCTTCTGTTATGCCATTTGTTCCATAATTTTCAACATGTGGAAGTCAACATTTCCTTATCAGTACTGTCACAAGTTTTGTTCTCCCAAAACTGGCTTTATTCCCTGAATAAAGGAAGCTTGAACGAATATAGGAAGCTGAGGCTCTATTTACAGAAAATGTTGACCTTCTATCACATTTCTATATATGATCCAAATATGTAGATTAGTCTTTCCTCTGTCTAGACACCTTCCAGATATATAGAGTTCAGCTGCTGCAATTTGAGCAATGGTGATGCTGGCAGGGAAGTTCTGGGTGTTGAACCACCTGGAGTATACAGGTGGGGCAGTGGAATTTTCTCCAGTGGTTTGGGTGCAAATTTGTCTATGGGTTTTCCTTGGCAGTTTAAATTCAGTTGAAGCTAATAGAATTGTAGTCACACTTAGGACTGTCATAGACCCTGATCAGATCCAATTTTATAATTTTTTTCCAATTATTAAGTGTACACCATGGTTGTTAAGGGAATGCCATTGACATAAAATGGACACATAGTTTGCTATGGGACATTTTTGCCCCAAACAGGAGCAAATGTCAGTTTTCAGCAAAACAATCATAAAGTGTGATCATGTGACCACGGGGGACATCCTTACAATCCAGCTTCACAACTGGATTGTAAGTACCTTTTGCAGGATCCTTTGTAACTTTGAATGGCCACCAAGTTATTAGTCATAAGTTGAGGACTACCTGTAAGGGCCTGAAAGCCTGGCTCTGCCAGTTGGCTTGTGGACCCAACAGTAGAGTATTACACTGGAGATGTTTGATGAATTACAAGAAAATCCCATCTCCTCCCTCACCTACATCCTTCTTCTTCCCTCCCCATCTGTTAATTGCAACTTCATCGGGATTGTAATTTTTATTAGTAATTAATTAATTATAAGTTTTGTTGCTTTTAATGTTGTAAGCTGCCCAGAATTGTTTTCAAGCAAGATGGTCGGCAAACAAATTTAAACAAACAAACAAACAAATAATACTGGCCTTATGATTTGGTTTGCGCCCTTTAGAATAATGCCTGATTTGAGTTGGGCTTAATCAGGGCTTAGTTACTCAAAACTTTGGCTGAAGTGAGAGCTATGGCTTTTCTTAAACCATACTGGGAAAACACCAGTAGATGTAATTTCTTAAACTGCACATAAAAGCTTCTAGGATGATGAGATCTGTTCAGTTTAAGGGGAAAGGTACAGGTTTGTTTCAAAACTGCTTTGAACCTGTTCCTCCCTCTCCTTGTAAAAAGGTAGGTTCTTGAAACTTTGAAGAAAGAATTATATTTACATAATGTAATTCCATCTTTTAGGGATAAGCTTCCAAAACGTCACGCAGCAAAATTATCATTTGCAAGCAAGCATTTTTTGTCTGCGGATGGCCCTTAAATACTGGTACTATTTATCTAAAGCAAATGTTTTGTTTTGTGATTAGTTCTTTTCAGGGACATTTATTTGGCAGGTTTGTAGTCTCCAGTTATCTTTCTTCAAACAGAGTTTGTCAGCATTCTCTTCACATGCTATGTTATTTTAACTTTCTAGGTCTCTTCTTTCATTTAATGCTACATTCTGATCTGTTGCATTGAATCTGTATGGTTATAAGCATAATAATTTATCTAACAATTGTTATCTCCCAGATTGAGGTCAGGTTGGTGAAGTTTGGAGAATGTATTTGTGTCCTGGAGATATGTTTACTAATGAAGTGCAGCCATCAGGAATTTGGAAACTTGTAGTTATCTGTTGAACTGCATTCCAGACGTTCAGAAAGTAATGGAAATACTTGATTAATATTGCCAGGATAGCTAATCCCTTGCAATAAATATTATGTTCGCTTGTTTAAATTTTGCAGGAGGATAAAGGATACCCCTAGTAAATGGGAAGTCTTGTATATACATGAAATATAATTAAATATAATAGTTTAAATCAATTTCAGAGATTTAATTTAATTAAGGGGCTTCTGTGATTAAATAAAATTAGATAAGCAGTTTACAAACTTCCCAATCAATAATGTTTATGCATCTATAACAATGAAACTAATTTAAAATCTAATATTAAAATTTTAATAAATTGGTATTCAAAATTTACCACAGGTTTTCAACAATAATAATTAAATTCAGATGATGTACAGTGATGATAAACTTCTGATAACTCATTTTGCTAGATTATCAGATCAGTGGGACTATGTAGTGCTCAGTTCTTCAAATATTTGTCAGTATATCATGCTAGGTTTGAAATGCTTGTATTTCAGAGACTTTTATATAAAAAGACATGTATTCCACCTATAGCTAAATCATATTCCACATGTAGCTAACGTTTTGTATAAAATGAACTACCGGAAAGTAGTTCTAGGCCCAAAGCTAGTTTCTAGGACAGAGCCAGTCTTATGTGATTTGTTAATTGTTTGTATAGAGCAGTAAACTACATACTGAAGAGTAAGTTCCTGTTCAGTTATGATTCCTCAAGCATTTTTAAAGATTAAAATGGTGGAGGACAGAGAACTCAAGGTTATAAAAACATTTCTTACCAACTCTAGTTCAAGGAATCTATATTATTTCAGATGTCAACATAAAACCATGAAGGCTAAAATTATATTTTGTTCCTACTACACGTAGTCCTTGACTTACAAGCGGTTATGATGACCCTCCAAAAGATAATTGTGACCTAAATTCAAAGATTCAATGGCTGCCCCCTATGGTTACATGATTGCATTTGGGACACTCCACAACTGGCCTACATTTATGTCTTATGTTTGCAGCATCCCATTGACACATGACATGCCACAAATTGTCATTTCTTGCCAGAAACCAGTGTTTACTTCTGGTTTCTGGCAAAAAAAAAAGACATGTTGAGGACAATATGTTCACTGTTTGACCATGGTGTTTGCTTAATAACCGCTGCAAAAAAGTTCATAAAATTGGGCATACCGGTAGTTAAGTGATGACCTGCTTAATGACCAGCATGATTTACATTTGTAACTCCAAGCTCCTTACGGTTGTAAAGCAAGAACTACATATGTGTGTATGTATGCATGTATCTTTATGTATATATAAAACTTTGAGGCCACTTGAGAATCTGGTTTTCCCTGAAAGGATGATGCTTGACTGATAGATGAGAAGAATCATCACTATGATACCGGAATGAAGCAAGCTAACCCAGAAATGTATTTTATCTTCACAGGTTACAGCCAAGACTGCCTTCTTGTTCATCTTACCTCAGTATAATGTCAGTGTGTTGACAGCAGGTAAGATTATATAGTCTACTGAATTCAGGGGTAGGATTCAACTGGCGTTACTACCGGTTCGGTGATTACGTTTTGCTTGCGCATGCACACGTGTAAATTAACCTTAGGCTGTGCCACCCAGACAGCTGAAAAGTGCTGCATGCATGTGCGCAGCATTCGAAAAGCCTCTTTTTTCCTGCTTTTTCAATCTCAGCTGTGCCGCGCAAAGCAGCTGAGGTTGAAAAAGCAGGAAATAAAGGACAGGTAAGAGCCCAGCAAGCGGGTGGGCCAAACAGCAGCAAGCACAGAACTGGTTCTGTGTCTGCTGCTCTTCAGAGCTACCGGTTCTATGGAGCCGGGCAGAACCGGTAGCATCCCACCCCTGACTGAATTGAAAACTTCTGCCTGGTAGTCAGCATGCTCAGGTTTCACTCAACTTGAAACCTATGTGGTTGTAACCACAAACTGGCTTTCAATTAATTGTGGGGTAAAGTGTCTTTACCATGCATCTAATACGCAAACATCAACATTTACATGCTCACATGTATAGGTATGCACAAACATACAGAACCAAGGAACCTCCAAATAATTTTTTTTCCAGATGTATAATATAATCAGCCTTCCAGATGTGCTGGTACTACATATCCCCTAGTTCCCAACGTAGTAGCTTCTAAACAATGAAGCCTTCATGTGTACCACAGATAATGAGTATCGTAGTCATTCCTTCTAGAAATCTTGTAAAGTGATCTAACACAGGGCCAGAGGTAGTAAATTCTGTAAAAAATGTAAAAAGGAGACTAGAATGCATCTGTTCAGTGTTTAATAGCAGTGCAGTCTAGAATGAGTCACAATTCCTATGTTGCACAGATAATGAGTACTGAGATTGACAACAGATATGTGCCTGCTGCTCTGTACAGGTAATCCTAGATTTACAGCCACAACTGAGCCCAACGCTGCTGTTGCTAGGCAAGACAATTTTAAGTGAGTTTTGTCCATTTGATGACCTTGCTTGCCATATTTGTTACATGCAGCTGACTTCCCCATTGACTTTGCTTGTCAGAAGGTCACAAAAGCTGAGCACATGACCCCGGGATAGAGCAGTCCTCATCAATAAATGCCAGTTGTCAAGTGTCCAAATTTTTATCACAGGAACACAGAGATAGATCATAACTTATGACATGCAGTCATAAGTGTGAAAATCACTTTTTCCCATGCCATTTTAACCTTGGGTGGTCAGTAAGCAGTATTTGTAAGTCGAGGACTATCTGTACATACAAATACTTGTAGGTAGCTTGGATGATCAAATGAGTTTTCACTTTGAACTAGGGGGAGCATAAGACAAATCTGTGTACATTCATAGTTGCCCCTATGCAGCCAAACTGATTAATATCCACAGGTTTAATTACTGTCTCTTGCCGGTGTTAAACTCACTCTTTCCTTCTTTGGTTCTGCTTCTTTGTATCTGCCTTGGAAAGCTTGGTTCTTAAATGGTTTCTCAGTTTAATTTTTTTTTATTTTGATCTCTCCCCCCTCCCCCCCCACTCCCTGTTTCCTTTCCTTTAGATGGTGAAATTGTTCTTTATCACTACGGGCTGAAGGATTTGGTTACAATCCTCTTCTACATCTTCATAGCAATTATTCTGCATGCTGTGGTGCAGGAATATGCACTGGATGTAAGTCTTACCTTGTGCTCAATAGAAAACCTAAGGTGTATGAACGATTGGCACAATCCCCTCCCCTTCCCCCCCACATTTCGAATCCCGTGTTACAACTGAGATTGTAAAGTAACTTTACAGTTTTTCGTTTTGCATTGAAGCATGAGGTGGGCAGATGTGAATTTTCCCCTTCTTGAATTATATAAATTGTCCTTTTAACCTATCAGGTCTTTGGATCTTTTCCTTTTCTCCTTCCTTTCATTTTCCTTGCCTGGGGTAAAGTCAGTTTTATCTTGCTCCTTCTTGTTGGAGGGAATGGGAAAGCTTTTCCTCTCTCCATCACCCCATATGGTAGGTGGGAGAGAATTTCTGGTCACAGCTGGTATTTGCAGTGTCCTGTTTTCTCCATCCTGTCCATGGGCTGTTAGCAAAGATAGCTTGTTTGGTTAAAGGGAGGCAACGGCCTTTGTAAACTGCTCCAAGCATCTTCTGATATGTTTGGTTATAGCTTAGAGGCAATACTAAAATATCCAGCAGCTTCTGCTTATTTCTAAGCGAAAGAGAGTTGCCACTGTCACCCATGATAAACATACCTGTCTTTGCCTTCTTGTCCAAAATCCTGCATAAGATTCTGTCCCTGTCTCTGGGAAGCCTGGGATGAATAGGTGGGGAATCCTGTTTCACTTTGCATGGAAGGAGAATGACCAGCAGCAATAATAGATGCTGAATCATAAGCCAGGTCAAAATGTGTGACGCTCCAGGTCATTTACTTGATTTTGCTGAGCTGGTGTAATGCATACCAGTCAAGCTCTGTTCATGCCGCTTCCTTGCCTTTTTCCTGGGTAATGGGGTGGAATGTTTGTGGGTTTTTTTTTTCCTGCTTTTATTGATTTCTTCTTTTTCCCTAGAAAATTAACCGTCGACTTCATCTTTCCAAAATCAAGCACAGCAAGTTTAATGAATCTGGACAACTGGTAGCATTTCATCTTGCCTCTATGGTTTGGTGCTTATATGTAATAATAACAGTAAGTTACCTTAATCTATTCTTCCTTCCTTCCTTCCCATTCCCACTCCCTCCCCGTTTCCTCCCTCCCCTCCCTTCCCCTCCTCGTAGAAACTGTGCTAGTAAGACTTTGTGCTACTGCACACATTCTTTCTGCATTAGTGGCTGTTAATCTATGCAGAAAAAGAATGTGACAGGCTGTAGTCTATATCAGTTTTAAAGATGGGATTAGAAAAGAACTGAATTTTCATCTTTCAAAACATTAATCAGAAAATGAATGATTTATAGAACAATAAAAACAATACAGTGTTGTATTGATTGAAGGAGTTCTTTATAGCCAGTGAAAATATTCCAGATCTGTATGTCTTTTGTTTCAGTAGTTACTGCTTGGCTTTCCCCCCTAGTATAAAATATATTTTAGACCTAAATTTAGCTTGCAGTAAATGTCAAAAATCCTTAGCAGAACTTTGCTGAATGAGGATTTGCATGGAGACTATACAGTACAGAGGCTTAAATAATCCTTTGTGTCAGAACAGTGATGAATTTGAGGAGAATGTCCATATCCTGCATGGAGTTTAGTTTTATTTACTTAATTGAATTTAGGCACCACCCACATCCAAATTAACTCTGGACAGCTCACAATATATGGATTTCCAGCAGAAATATTTTCAGCTCTCTCAGCAATAGTATGTGAAGAAATAATTTTGATACTTCAACATTAAAAATTTTCACATCAGTGATTGTACTTTGTGGAATACATCAGGGAGCTATAGGACATGACTGGAGAAAGTAGAAGAAGAAGCAGCAGCAAGCATGATAGAAATGGCAAGTTTAGGAATATGGGGAAGATAATGTGAAAAGTGAGTTCATATCAGATATCTATCAAGGGAAGTTTCATTGTTAAATTTCCACCACTCCAAAATTAGTGCAGTGTTGTCATATTGAAAGATGGTGGCACTATTATGAAGCAGATTCTGGGGATGGTAATCAAGAATTGTAGTCCTCTTCTTTGAATATTATGATAAATTTTAGTACATCAAAGTACCTTAAAACACTTTTCTTAGAGGTGTGCATTTGGTTCCAAAGCAAGAAAGGTACTTCATCATAGGCATGCTAGTTGTTGAGGTAATTCCCCATTAGGAGAATGAGTGCATACAGGGAGACGTATTGAAAGTAGTGTTTGAATAATACACACACAGCACACAGATACACTGTACAGTAAATGTAGGTTTTTACTTTCCATAAAGGTTTAAGCAAAGTTCAAAATAAGCAGTCCAAAGTCATTCACGGTTAAATCAGTCAGTTTTCAGTCCAGGGATAATCCAATAACAAAGTCAAAAACAGTTCAGTATCAGACTTATATCAAATCCAGGTATAGCAGTCAGTTATGAGGAACGGCAATAATCTCCAACAGAAGGAAAACAGAGACTCACACTCTCTTCTGAGATTAAGACTAAGACTAAACAACCCAGGTTTCTGGCTCCATCTTATGGCCGTTTGAGAAACCACACCTAATTACACTTTTAGGATTCTCTTAAAGAGACAGTATTAAAATGTCTATCCTGGTTTATGTATTTCTAACCCAAATACCTGTTAGTTGACTTACATTCCTAACACTAGTTTTACCTTTTGGTAGTGCCCTTAAAAAGCTATGCCATTTTGTATTCAGACTAGTCCAAAAAAATATAACATTCATGTTAAGGAGATATTAGCATGCCAGTGTTGGATCTGATTTACTAGCAGTTCAAACGCATACAAAATGCAAGTAGAAAAATAGGAACCATTTTGGTGGGAAGGTAACAGAGTTCCGTGCGCCCTCAGCGCTTAGTCATGCCAGCCACATGACCACGGAAATGTCTTCAGACAGTGCTGGCTCTTTGGCTTTGTAACGGAGATGAGCACCACCCCCTAGAGCCAGAAACGACTAGCACATATGTGCGAGGGGAACCTTCTTTACCTTTACCTTTGGATGCAAATGCTGCACATGTCTTGTCATAAAAATGTCAAATTGGATTGTTAGATAAAATTCAACTGGTTTTTAAATCTTATGAAGATATCTTTCCCCCATCTTAGTTATGTTTGCATCTTGTATTGAATAGTGAGCAAATATCCCAATGAATTAGGGACTAAAATATTCAAGTGCTGTCCAAATGTGCAAAACTTTGAATGCAGTGGTGTGAACTAAGTATGCTTTCAATTATTAATGATATAGAAATCTCATTTTGTTCAGTTCCTTGATTTTCTTGATGTGGGTTGTATATAATACATATTTTGTTACAGTTATGGAATCACAGAAGGTGAATTAGGTGGCTGTATACATTTTTGTAAGTTAATAAATACAAGCAATCTTCCTGCTTATTTAACCAAATTATCTTGAAATATTATTCATTCTATATGAAAAAAAAGTGCACTAATCTCACTTCTAAAACTGCAGCATTTTATTTTTTATTTTTGCAGTCGGGTAAGCTGATTTTGGTTTGTCATGAGATCTTATAATTTTTGGAAGAACGTTTGTTGAGAACTGATGAGGCTAGAGGAAGTAATACTGAATAAATGAATCTAATTGTCTGAGTAATTTCAGGTCTTGTAATCTTAATGGAAAATAGCTGCCAAGGCATAATCACACAAAGCCAGTTATTCTGTGAAATGTGATCCAGAAACATTGAAAGAAGTACCACAATTAACATTATGCACGCTTCCAATTTGGATAAGGCAGTTGCAGCCATCAGAGGAAAAAGACAGTTGCGGCCATCAGAGGAAAAAGATAGATTTTGCCAATGATAAATGAGAACAAAAGAGAACAAAAGGAAATGAAAGCAGAGCATTTTTATTCTTTAAATCAGAGGTTCCCGGGGGTGTGAAAACTTGGGTTTAGAAGTTTCAAAATTATATTGTATGTGTATAGTTATATGCATATAATTATTTTTAAGGGTTGTGAGAATATATCAGAAGCATTTGAGGGGCACGGGGTATAGAAAAGATTGGGAACTCCTGCTTTAAATAAAGTGGCCTATTAATTTCAGCTCATGATGACTTCATGAAAGTGTCATGAGTTTTCTTGGTAGTAGTGTAGAAGTGGTGGGTCATTAATGCTTACTAGAATGTGTTCTTCATTTCTCTATCTTGTCACCAGCCCTAGGATTTTCTGTGATCTCACATCCCAATACTAACCAGGTTCAAATCAGACCATTGTCACTTTTCAAGATGAACCAAGATTAGCTATATGCTGCTCTAGCGATCAAATTGATGCAGCTGCCGGTCTCACAAATGGGCAGCATGCAATCATGTGCCTCAGGGATACAGTGACATAATTGAGATTAGTTACTAAGCGCTGAAATCACCTTGGGGATGTTATGACAGCTACAATTATGAAGACCTGTTATAAATTCCCCTTATTCAATGCCATCATAACTTTGAACAGTTGCTGAATGAGTAGATGTTAAATGAGGACTAGCTATATACTTTGATGAGTTAGTTGAGCATGATATTTACCGAGTCTGGATTCAGCTGAAGACAATGAAAAGAGATGGCCCTGGCCACTCTTACCAGTTTTGTTTGCAGCCAAATGAATTATAAAAATCGATATTTATTGGCAAAGCAACCAAATGGTGAGTAAGCTTGCCAAATAGTTCTGCTTTCTATTCCTAATTTTTCACTAATTATTTGATGCTCTGTGAACGCACTGGCAAGTTAAATGTTTTTGGCAATAGCTAGGAAAACCACTTTTAAACAAGCTATTATTACAGTTCTTACAGTGCATTAATTATCATCATTCTATTTCTTGTTGATTTAATTAGTTGAGGCAGTGCTTTTGAGAGGAACAGCTGAGCTTCCAAAAGACTTTTTCAAAATGAAGGAGGTGGAGAGTGTCTGTCCCATTGCTTCCATTTCTCACACCTTCCAGTCCATCTCCCTTGAAAGCAAACAGGCTGAATGACTTTAATTTGTAGCTTTTGTAAATCAAGCTTTTCCCTTTCTGCACTTTCCACATGCCACCCTTTTATTCCTTGATGTCTTAACTGAGGCCTCTGGTTGCCTAAGAAATTGGTTAAAGCTGTTAATCTGCAAGATATGGAGCCATAATATTAGAAATTGGGGTTGCTTCTTTATACACTTCTGAAGTTGTAAATTCAGTTCTCAGCAGATGGGTTTCTGGATAATTTAGTGTCTAGATTTCCAATCTATTTTGGGTTTTCCTTCCCCTCCAGTTTTTGTTTTACCCTGGTAGAAACCTGTGTTTATAGGGAAGAAAGAAGTACTAATGTGTTTAGGTCCTACTAGCTTTGTTTTCTAGGAACAGAGTCGTAAGTGTGTGTGAATCTTTTGCTAGATTGAACTGTAGGTTTTTCTATTCCCACTTTTTCATTTTCCAAGCAGATATATCATGCTGCTTAAAAACAGGGCTTATAATTAGCAGCTATCTCCTTTGTTTGTTCCCAATGGTAATCTGTTAGAAAAATGCTATTGATATTTGCTATCACAACAAATAATGGATGATTGCACAATTAATAAAAACTAGCTTTATTCCTTCCTGTTTGATTAGATTACTTTTTCTGGCATCTGTATTATGAATTTACACAATGGTCTTAAAAATTATGCCTGAAGTGTCCCTCCAAACCTCTTCCTTGGGCCTACCAGGTTTCCAATCCATCTGACATGTTAGAGATGTACAAAACATTTCACATGAGAATATATAAAGTTGTAGGATTTTCCTGTGGAATAAGCCAATATGTGCATCTCTTGGGTTGCCTGGAACAGGAACAACTTTGTGTTCCTAAATGAACATGTTCTGGGGCTGTAGTGTATCCAGAAACCCAAACGTTGAGAACTGAACTGAGAAGGGTTTAACACGTTGAAGTACACCATATTCTGGACCATCTTCCACAAACATATGAAATAGTTCTGAAATGCATAGAATAGCCTATTACAAAGGGGAGAAAAACATAACCTTATAGAATTGGGTTTTCTTCTTTGGGAACATTTAATAAATAACTACTTTTGAAATATTTAAATGAAAAGAAATGGAAAAGTAACATGCTGCAAAACAAAAGCAGTAGAATCAAGAAGTATCTTTGCAAGATTCAATCCGGGTCAATCACCAGGGTCATGGGTTCCAGGTGACTAATCTAATTAAGTTTTAAAATACAGATAGTCCTTGACTTACGACCAGAATTGAGCCCAAAATTTCCATTGCTAAGCAAGACATTTCTTAAGTGAGTTGCTCCCATTTTAAGACCTATTTTGCCACAGTTGTTAAGTGAATCATTTCAGAATTATGTGTTGTTAAGAAAATCTGGCTTTCCCCATTGATTTTGCTTGTTAGAAGCCAGGTGGCAATGTTCCCAATGGTGACCATATGACCCTGGGATAGTGAATTTGTCATAAATACACTGCTCAAAAAAATAAAGGGAACACAAAAATAAAACATCCTAGATCTGAATGAATGAAATATTCTTATTAAATATTTTGTTCATTACATAGTTGAATGTGCTGGCAACAAAATCACACAAAAATTATCAATGGAAATCAAATTTAGCAGCCCATGGAGGTCTGGATTTGGAGTTACACTCAAAATTAAAGTGGAAAAAAACACTACAGGCTGATCCAACTTTGATGTAATGTCCTTAAAACAAGTCAAAATGAGGCTCAGTAGTGCCTGTATGACCTCCCTACAATGCCTGGGCATGCTTCTGATGAGGTGGTGGATGGTCTCCTGAGGGATCTCCTCCCACACCTGGACTAAAGCATCCCCCAACTCCTGGACAGTCTGTGGTGCAACATGGCGTTGCTGGATGGAGTGAGACATGATGTCCCAGATTTGCTCAATTGGATTCAGGTTTGAGGAACGGGCAGGCCAGTCCATAGCATCAATGCCTTCGTCTTGCAGGAACTGCTTACACACTCCAGCCACATGAGGTCTAGCGTTGTCGTGCATTAGGAGGAACCCAGGGCCAACCGCACCAGCATATGGTCTCACAAGGGGTCTGGGGATCTCATCTCAGTACCTAATGGCAGTCAGGCTACCTCTGGCGAGCACATGGAGGGCTGTGCGGCCCCCTAAAGAAATGCCACCCCACACCATTACTGACTCACTGCCAAACCGGTCATGCTGGAGGATGTTGCAGGCAGCAGAACGTTCTCCACGGCATCTCCAGACCCTGTCACGTCTGTCACATGTGCTCAGTGTGAACCTGCTTTCATCTGTGAAGAGCACAGGGCTCCAGTGGCGAATTTGCCAATCTTGGTGTTCTCTGGCAAATGCCAAACATCCTGCACGATGTTGGGCTGTAAGCGCAACCCCCACCTGTGGACGTCGGGCCCTCATACCACCCTCATGGAGTCTGTTTCTGACCGTTTGAGCAGCCACATGCACATTTGTGGCCCGCTGGAGGTCATTTTGCAGGGCTCTGGCAGTGCTCCTCCTGTCCCTCCTTGCACAAAGATGGAGGTAGCTGTCCTGATGCTGGGTTGTTGCCCTCCTACGGCCTCCTCCACGTCTCCTGATGTACTGGCCTGTCTCCTGGTAGCGCCTCCATGCTCTGGACACTTCGCTGACAGACACAGCAAACCTTCTTGCCACAGCTTGCATTGATGTGCCATCCTGGAGGAGCTGCACTACCTGAGCTACTTGTGTGGGTTGTAGACTCCGTCTCATGCTAGCACTAGAGTGAAAGCACCGCCAGCATTCAAAAGTGACCAAACCATCAGCCAGAAAGCATAGGAACTGAGAAGTGGTCTGTGGTCACCACCTGCAGAACCACTCCTTTATTGGGGATGTCTTGCTAACTGCCTATGCTTTCCACCTGTTGTCTATTCCATTTGCACAACAGCATGTGAAATTGATTGTCAATCAGTGTTGCTACCTAAGTGGACAGTTTGATTTCACAGAAGTGTGATTGACTTGGAGTTACATTGTGTTGTTTAAGTGTTCCCTTTATTTATTTTTTGAGCAGTGTATATCCCAGTTGCCAAGCACCTGAATTTTGATCACAGGGGTGCTGCAATGATCCTAAGTGTGGAAAAACAGTCATGAGTCACTTTTTTCAATGCCATAGTAACTTCAAATGGTCATTAACCAATGTTTATAAGTTAAGGACTACCTGTACAGTGAGCCTTCCCCACGATGGATTCGCGTTTCTCATTTCCTTTAAACAAATTGACTTTACTTTTAAACCATTTAATAATAGGAATTATCTGGGCTCTCAAAGAAAAGGATGGCTAAACTCCTCATCTACAATTGGTTTTCCTTTGCAGAAGGCTCTTTAGCTTTTGATACATAAGTTGCCAGCCACTTGGATATCAACGGGAATATTATCTGAATTAAGCAACAATTGGTTCTAAGGGCAACAGCCAGTTCCTTCTTGCCTCCTCTTCCTCCTCTTCTTTCAGCTTGGCCAACATACTGGAGTCTCGTTCTGCAACTTGCCCTTGGGATTCCCATAATTGCCTTGATCCCTTGCCACAGTAATGGCAAAAAGAGGGCAGCCAGTAAGGGAGCCCACATGAGCAGCCCAGCCTACAGCTGGCGACTACTAGTCCTTCTCTTAACAAAGTCTGTGGGGCTCTGCCTCTGAGGAAATGGGGGAATTTAAGAACCAGTTCATAAGAACCATTCAAAAACAGCTAGATGGATTATCAGGACTGATGATGATTACTATATCGTGAGTGACAAGAATTTGTTTAAGGGTCATTACAGCAAAGATGGCTGCTGACTTCCTCTGATTTTCTTCCTCTCTCCAGGAAGGATACTTATCAAACCCCAAAAGTCTGTGGGAAAGCTACCCTCATGTTCATCTCCCGTAAGTATTTAATGCTTTGGTAATTTTTATTTGTACTCTTCAAGAGAGCCACAGCATAACCATTGTACAACTGAACAAAACCACTTCCTTCCTCTTGGTTATCTGAGGTCAGCAGTGAGTAATGGTGGCAAAAACAGGGCATTTGGGGCTTCAGGGCTTCTAAAGCAATCTCATAGCTCCCTCCTGTGAACAATGCCAAGATTGCAAGCACAAATCTAGCTTTTTCAAGGAGAACAAAGACATCCCCAGCTCTAAGAGATGCAGAGTCTGCCTGGCAGTGAGGAGGCACCTCATGTTTCTGAGAGGAACAGGAGTTGTATTGGGTAGAAAGATGACACAGGGCAATTACAGATACTTGACATAGCTGGATAAGACTGGAGTTCTCTCTCTCTCCCTCTCCCTCTCCCTCACTCTCTCTCTCCCTCCCTCCCTCCATCCCCCCCTCTCTCTCATTTAACAGACTTCTCTAAACTTTCATTAAATCCTTTCATTAAATCCTAAAATCCAGTGAGCCAAGTTGCCCTCCAACCATATCTGAAGCTCTTGCTATGAACATTTCTTCATATACTTCGAGGATTTTTAAACATTTTAAAAGGACTTTAATCTTTCTTTTGTGGGTGGAAGCAGCAGTATTTAAAGTCATTAAGTTACTTCATATTCCACAGATAGGTAGTAAGATTTTAATTTGTCCAGAAAATTCTCAGAACAGAAAATAGAAGTAAGATCTTCCTAGTTGCATTGAATTAAAATTGGATTGTCACTAATTCCTGTTTATGATTCCTGTTTATGATGTCTAGCAAAAGCTCATTCCCATTACATAGGTACCAACCTGTTCAAACATGAAACTATCATCTCTTCCTAGAGAAAGCACATGTTGTGGTTAGCCGCCAGCAGGTGCAGATGGCTGAGGAGAGTGATGACTCTGATGAGGGGCCAGGACCATTAGGGAGTGGACTGCTGCATTCAGGGATTGTGGGGGCTGGCAGCAGTGATGAGGAGGCTCCGAGGAGCCTGTGCCAAGTGCACGTGAGCGCAGGATGATTCGTAGAGGAGAACAGCTGGATGCAACGTAATGGCCCCTCCCTCCAGGGAATATAAGCCTGGTTTCAAAAGGTTTTTGCTTTTGCATTGTGTGTGGAGACTCCGGCTTATCTGAAGAATTCTGCCAAGGCTTTTCTGGTTGGACTAATTGGCTGCAAGCCATCTTTTATCTACAAAGAAGTTATTTGTAGATTAAAGCTGAGAAGGTTTGAGTTGCTGTGTTTGTTTGAGATTTTCTTGCTGGTAACAGGGTTGGGTCAGAACAGTACAGTAGTATAATGTGGATATATGCTTCTCGGTATGTGGAATCAAAATACAGTGGGCTATTGCATACAAATAGCAAAAATAGCTAGTTTCCCTTCTGTTTTCATCATAGAGAGAAGTTATGGTGCAAATAACACCATTGGTGCTTGGTAATTTAATTATTTGGGAGTAGAGTAGATATTACATATTGATGCTGGTTGTTATATTCCAAAGTGAATTTGGAAATGTTGCTGTTTCCTAAAACAACTTAAAACACAGTAGGCTGCTTCCTAAAGGGATGTTCATAATACAGTAGGAAGAACAGAAAAAATGTGTAACTGTTTGCTCACTGCTATTATTTGTTACATTCTAGGTTCCAGGTTAAGTTTTTCTACGTTTGTCAGCTGTCCTATTGGCTACATACATTGCCTGAATTGTATTTCCAGAAGGTGCGAAAGGTGAGTGCCAACTCAAGGTGCTTTCTCTTCACTCTTACTTTAAGATATGTTTCAGAGGCTGAAATAATTACCCGCAAATTCACTATTACAAAACTGTACTTTCCCCAGATTAAGACCATTTCTCCACCTACAACAGAGACCTCTGATATTAGTCTGTTAGCAAGTTGGTTAAATAAATGCATAATCTGCCACTGTTGCAAAAAATACAGGGAGCTGGCTCGCTGCTCCTGTAGCTCAGACGGAAACCAAACTTCCAGGCAGAATCATTCTCCTCCATTCTATAATATTATCATGATAACTCACAGTATCAGGTTGAACAGAAGTTTTTGAAAATGGAGCCGTAATAAATGCTTATGAATAATCCTGATTCTAATCCCCAATTGCTTTGGGAGCAACCTAAGATAATGCAGATATATGCAACCGCTTTCCTGTATTCTTAAAATTAACACTGAATTTTCCTTATTTTCCTAGGAAGAAATTCCACGTCAGTTGCAATACATCACCCTTTATCTAGTGCATATATCAGGAGCATATCTCTTAAAGTAAGTGTTACTGAGGACTTTTCTTAATGCATCAGGTTAACTAGGAGACTGTGAGTTCCAGTCCTGACTTGGGCACAAAAGCTGGCTGAATGACTTTGGACCAATCTCAATCTTTTACATTTTTTTTTTAAAATATAAGCATTTTCGGAAACAAATGCCATGGGCTTTGGTCCATATTGCACATATCATGTTATTTTCATTTAGGAATTGCAGGTGTTCAATAAAACACATCTGGATTCATTGATAGACTTTGTAAGGGAAGGGTGAGGATATGATTTATTAACGCTTCTGTCCATCATCCATACCTGGTTTTGCTCACTCATAAGTTTTCGTGGAGAAAATTCCACAAGCATGAAACATTTTTCCTCCTTGTCTCTAGCCTCACTCGCCTGGGACTAATCTTGTTGCTGCTGCAGTATGTTGCTGAATTCCTCTTCCACATGGCTCGCCTTTTTTATTTCACAGATGAAAACAATGAAAAGTTGTAAGTGCTCTTGGATGAACTTTGGATTATTAGGCCAAACTTTCTTACCATAAACCTTTTGTAATCCTGAAGCTGGGTTGTCTTTTTCTAATGTGCTGTATCATGTTTTACTGCTAAAATAAAGTGACTGCTAACATGACTTGAATGTGATGGCTAGTTAGCTTGGGAATAAAATTCCTTTTTCTACTAAGTAGGAAAAACCTCAGATTCCCAGTTTCAATCTATGAGGATAAAGAATTAAATGGACATTATTTTGTCTGAAACATTCAATACTTGATGCAAATCTGTTTATGTCAGATCTCCTTTGATAATCTTCCAGAGAACAGTGCATAGTGACAGTTGCTATAAAGTGAAATGTGACAAATTTTAATGCAAAAATGTATTTTTTTCTCCTTCAATTTCATAAGGTTTAATGCATGGGCAGTAGTTTTTGTCATCTCACGGCTTTTCACCCTCACCCTTTCTGTGCTGGTCATTGGCTTTGGGCTGGCTCGAGTGGAGAACCAGGCATTTAACCCTGAAAAAGGAAGCTTCAACACTTTGCTTTTCAGGTAAGTTTTTTATGAATTCCGGATGCTGAAGAAAGATGGCTTGGGGCATTGATGATTAGAAAAAAAGGGGGGGTTGTCATTTCACCTCTCTGTTTATTTAGATGTTATTATTCACATTGCTTACTCGTGATGAATAGATTGGGGAAAAGCGGCAGCATTATTGCTTCTTCTTCTGTACATACTTCTTTCGTAAAAACTCTTGCCTTGATAGTTTTAATGTTGTTAACTAATACAACTAGTACAAGACACCATTGTTCGTAGGAGTTGGTCTTTGTTGAGGAATCCCCTCCTCACTACTGTTTTAAAACTGATGGAACAAAGCAATCCTGGCTAGGGGAAAATTGCTTTGTAGCATCAATGTTGTTATAATGCTTAACCAGGATTAATGTAAAATAGGAAGGCATGTAAGGAACACATTCTAGACAGTGGTGGGTATGAAATCTCCCATAATCCAGCCCAATCTTCTGTGATTGACTAATCATAAAGTAATCATGAAAATCAAATGGGCACTATTTTGTTACATTCCTGAGTTTTTATTGCATACAAAAATGAGTGTGAAGAATATGATTTAAGCTGCAATATAACAATTATATTATTATAGAACTCACGTTCTAGGTAAGCAATTTTTTTAAAGTAATAAGCTTGATAATTTGTTATGCAATGAAGCATCTGAATGAAGACCGCTGCCATATTTTAAAGATTTTTTGCACAGTTGCAGAGCAAAACAAACATCCTGCTAACCAATATACAAGTAGACTGTAGAGGACCCGGCTTCTTGGGATTTGCCAACCTCTATTTCTCTCACCTTAAGCTGTTCCAAAAAGAAAACCATTTTCAGGACAGTTAAATTATTATAACTTGTGGTTATAATATACATATATAAATTGGTCTTGTCTTTTGCAGTAAAGCTTTACTGTCCCTCCTGCTGACCATGCTTATTTCCCTGGAAAAGTTGTGATGCTAATATACGATCACTTGCTCCAGCCTTTAACAGCAGAGGAACAGCCATCTCTTCCCTGTTTCTCAGTTAACAGAGGACTGATCAAGTGATCACTGAGGAAGAGTGACCAGGGGTCCCCAGGTGGCCCATAGCTCACCCCTGAAGGAGCTGTGACTGCATGCAGTGATGATTCTCACCCTAGAACAGGCCAGATCCAAATATGCTTGTTCCAAATATGTTTGCCTTGCCTCCTCGTAGGATGGGTGTGTTGCTTCTGGTGTGTTTCTCACAGGCCTGGATGATGTGGCGCTTCATTCATTTCCAGTTGCGACGCTGGCGTGAATACTGGAATGAACAGAACAATAGAAAAAGGGTTCCAGCCACTGTCCACTTCAAACAGCAAGTAAAGACAATGAAAAGGGAATCTGGTGAGCATCTGGCCCAATTGACCATGTACTGAAGCTGTAGAATGCCTCTTATTAATCAGTTCAATTGCTAAATGAACTAAAAATAACTAATTGGAAAGTAGATTTTTAATTAAATGCTTTAATAAAACTATTTAATAAGAATGAAAAATTACAAGGACCGAGTTTCCTACATAGGGAAAAATATCAAAGATTTGGGAGCAGGGGAGAGGGAATGTCTCCTTTAAGCAATGGACCAGTAGTGGGATTCAAAAAATTTTACTACCAATTCTGTGGGCGTGACTTGGTGGGCATTGCAGGGGAAAAGATACTGCAAAATCTCCATTCCCACCCCACTCCTGGGGGAAGGTTACTGCAAAATCCCATTCTCTCCTCACCCCACTAACCTGCTTTCCAGTTCCGTTCTCCTGTGCAGGGCAACAAAAGAAAACCCAGCCGATCAGCTGGAACTCAGGAGGCAGAGAATAGATGGGGGTGGGGCCAGTCAGAGGTGGTATTTGCCGGTTCTCCGAACTACTCAAAATTTCTGCTACCAGTTCTCCAGAACTGGTCAGAACCTGCTGAATACCCCCTCTGATATGGACTTTCTGTAACTTTCACCCAATCACCCAGTACCAAAGTGTGTGCATTTCATTCAAAGTATTATTTCCATGAATATGCAATATAGTTTAATTTACTTTTATTATACATATAAAAGGCAATGATGAACAATATAATTCATATCAATATGCAAATATTTTATGGACTTAAAGTCTGCAAATAAGGGACTTAGCTGGCTCAAGCTTTTTGGTTCAGCAGTGGCATCAATGCCCCTGCTATGCTAGAAATACTTCCTGTGATGCTTCTTCTGTCTACTCTATTGTGTTATGGGCTATGCAAGGAAGCCTTTTTCACTGGGATTTCACTCAGTAGCTCTGCTAGTTGAAGATTCTGGGGAATTCAGTCCTACGCATCTGGGGAACACAAGGTTGGGGAAATCTGCAGTGGGCAATGAGGTGACATGATATTTCTAAAGAAGACTGTGTCTCCATGACCTAACTGGAAGCTTCTTATCAGCTACCACTTTCTCTCTTTCAAGAAACATGATAGAGAAACCAATCTGTTAAAACAAATTTCTCATTATTATTCCCCTTCCCCACTCTCCATTACAGGTTACCATGAAAATGGAGTAGTAAAGGCAGAAAATGGTACCTCACCACGGAACAAGAAACTCAAGTCTCCGTAGAGCCAAAGCACGGCCGACGTGGGATGTTTGAGGAGGAGACAGAGGTGCAAGAATGAGGACTTTGGAAATAAGAAGCACTTTCCTCTCTTCTGTCCTCACAATGCTCCACCTCAAGTGATGTGCCCACAGAGTGAACCAAGCTCTCTCTCTCTCTTCCCCCATCCCTATGTCCTTCTGTCTCTGTCTCTTTTTGCAATAACCAAAAGGCCTTCATCCTTGACAGAGAGGCTTAAGAACGCCAAAAGCTTTTCCTTGTCCTGTTATTGTGCAATTCTAAAAGTTTTGCTTGTTTTCATGCCCCCCAGAAATGTGAGTTTTTAAAGAACCCTGTTCCCAACATACCTTTTTTTCTCCTTCACTTCCTTACATCTGTTTTTTTTGACTTGGGGAGATTACAGCTTCAGCTCATGATGGAATTTGGTTCTAGAAATAGATGTGGGGGACTGTAAATTCTTGTTTCTCTAGAAAATGCACTCTTGCAAGGATAGGTTTGGAAAGAAATGCAGTTTCAGTCCTGTTCAAAGAGCATCCTCTAATCTGAATCGCATAATTATGTTACACAGTCAGTAAGCTTTGTAAAATGGTTAGGATTTGTCCGGTTTTCAAAACATGATGGCAAGATACAGATAGTTACTTTTTATCTGTTTGTGATTTATCATGCTCAGTTTTCAAAGTTAAAGTTTCATTTGTAGCTTTAGCTACCTTCTGAAGACTGGAACAGATATGGTCCTCTTTCTTATCTTTCTTTTCTGGTCCTAAAAAAGAATTCATGTTTTCTTAGAAACAATTGAATTTTCCTAAAATAGGAGAATGTACTTGTCCTGTCAGTTTAGTATGTGTGAAGTATGATTTTCATCTTCATTGGCCTAGGAAGTCTCAACCTATAGCATCTTGAGGGAAGGGGAAAGCATCTCCATTCATTTAAACAGGAGCTCAGGGCATTTTTACTAGTGAAGAAGAGAAGACTGTGATTTGTTCACAAGAGGATAATGTCTTTCATGTTGAAGATTTTATCTGTTAACCTTCTTCAGGAAGTGCTAGTATAGCCTTGTTGTTTGAGTCATTCATGTTTAACACAATAGAATAGTAATATTTGGTCTTTGAAATGTACTCCTATGCATATTTTCTCAGAAGTAAATTCCAGCAAATTCAGAGAGGTTAACTCCATTTCACTGTGGTATAGAATTGCAACCTGTCATTTGTTTTCCCAAGCACCTCTTTTTCTAAGTTACATCTAATAAGTTCTGAATTCATGCCTGCCCTGGTGTTCTTATTTCTAAAACTACGGAGATTGTTTTTATTCAGATTGAAGGCAATTTAGTTCCCAGTTCCTTAGCAGGTTCAGTTATGAAAGATAGGGGAGGGGACAGAAGGAATAACGTCTCCAAAAGGGGAGAGCACAATTTGTAAAGCTGGTGGATGATATTAAAAAGTGAAAAATCTACCTCGGAAGCCACCCATTCCTGCATTTCTTTTAGTTAAGTTGATTTGGCACCTACAAAAATATTGGGGTTGTTCACACAAAATTTTTAGAGTTACTTTGTACATCTTTAATGTTTTAATGAAAAGTGTCTTCTGTTGTCCTTTGTGTATGCTTAAGCGTACTTTATTCAGCAGAATTGCTTCATGACTATGTCTTGTTTTAAGTCCTAGTGTAACTGGATCATCTTACAGTGTTGTACTGCTTTTCAGATAATACAAAGAAGAAACTTTTTGATTTCTATTCTCTTTTGCCATAATTTGGAATAGAAATATCTATTTCATTAATAGATTGAATGAAATCAATAGAATACATACATAGTAGTTGGGTGTCCCAGGATTTGACCCAACTACTCCTTTTTGTGAATGCTTTTATTGTGTCTAAAGTAGGTCTGTGTAAGTGAAGACCTGCCAAACCAAATACATTAGCCATGAGTTTCATCCTGCCAGATCATGTCTGGTTTGCATTTAGATCAACTGTTAAGAGGGATTGCTGCAGTCTTAGCAGACAGCAGTGCACGGTTAATGAGTAAGTGATAAGTTTCATGAGTCAAGGATATAGATTAGCTGTAAAATTTTGGGGGAGTTTAAGTGGTGAAGAAGACTCTATAAACTGCTTACAATATTTGTATCTCTGAAGAATGATATGTCTTTTTTTATCCTTCTCTTGCAATGGACTTTAATGCTGCTTGGCACTACTTGAGACTGTACAGAGAGCTTTTTTTTTTCTTCCCACCAAAATCTTGAAATGTTCAGATCAGAGCCCTTCTGAGCTGAAATCAACTATACCGTATTGTGCCTGTCACTCCTTAGCTCTTATTGGGTTCTAAATATACCTCATCTGTATCATTTTTAAACAGGAGTGAAGGAGTAAACTGGGTCAGCGATGGTGCTAAGTAGGTCAGATATGGTGGGCCAACCTATACGCATATGTGAATGCGATAGCTATATTGCTTGCACCTAACAGAAAGCCCACCACTATTGCAAAGCAGATAGGTATGGCTTCTACCACCCGAAGAACCACTCTTGGCCCTGTATGGCATGTTGATGATCATCTTGCATAGTGGGTGTAATAAAATTGCCCTGATTTTTAAATGTTTTGAGTCTTTGAAAACATCATGAATTCACTTCACTCTTTTCAGTTTTTCCCCAAAGCTACCAAAATGCAAAAAAAAACACACACAAAAATCTAGCCAAATATTTTACTTGCATCTTTTTGGGAGTGCTTTGAGGGCCACGCAATGTATGTGCAATTTGTAGGCTTTCTTTTACAGCAATTCTTTACATTGGTGTTCTAAATTGGAATTCCTTATGCTTGTTGTTAATTCTGATCTTAGTTAAGTGGAGCTTTCTGACTTTGCACCAAGCTCAGTCAAAAGACTTTAGGTTTCGCAAAGAGCTGGTTCTAGAAAGCTTCAGAGAAGCCTCCAAATAGGCCTTACCCTGACCCAGTTAATCCCAACTCCTTTCATCCAGCACCAGGTTTTCAATTGTAGTACAATTTTGTGCAAGTGCCTTACTATCACATAGCCTTTCCAACCTTTTTATCTTTCATATTGGTTTTTCTTTGTATATGTATTGTTGTAGTTCATTTATACTGTATGCACTAGTTTAGCTATTCAAAAAGGGGGCAGCTTTTGCTGGATGCTTTGCTTCAGTTTCTATGCCTTTTTGACCATAAGTAGTTACTTGATGAGTGTAATTGTTGGAATTATTCTAGCTGCAAGAATCTCTTTTGTTAATACGGAACAATCCATAATATCACAAACATTTCCATAGCAGACTAGATGCTCTTGGTTTTAATTTTGGATGTGTCATTGTATTTCTAAAACTTTTTGAACGTCTTTCATAGCATCTGTTGCTAGAATTAGATGTTATGCTTAGTTTTTTAATTATTTAGGGATGGGGCCTTTAAAAACACTATGCAGTCATTGAAACTGCACTTCTAAGCAGAAGTTACACATACATAAGGCATCACCAGTTTGTGCCACTTTTTATGGAGAATTACCTTCTACTTTTGGGTGCTTTCATTCTCAAAATAAAAGATGTTGGTGTTATGGTAAAAGTGAAAATAACTTAGGGGGAGTTACCTTTCTTCTCCAGCACTAATGGTCTGCTTCAAATTGCTGTCTCAGTAGATACTGTGTGTGGATTTAAAGAGAGAGCACCCACCAACACAAATGGGATTTTAACCTAAGGGTGCCTTTGTATGAGTAAGCCTAGTCTCACTCTAAGTTAAATAATAACAGCCTGAATCTTAACTTACTTGGTTCCTCTATACTCTGTTTCTCCCACTACTCAATTAAAAAAGGTTGTATCGATTTAAGATCTGTTGTGAGTGATCTTATCTTGAGGGAAAGAAATGGGAAAAATAGTTCTCCATAATGTAATTATATTTGTTTGGGTTGGGAGCAACATCATTAACTCTGGGACTTGTTCTTCCTATAACACAGGATTAAGTGCAGAGAACCTCATAGTGCCTTTCCTTTCTTTCTTATTCTAGGTCAAGGGTAAGCAAATGTTTTGGGTCAAAGTATGTTTGAAATTTTGAGAACATATGCTTGCAGAATGAGTGTCAGGTTAGATATGGTCAGTCACAAAATACCCATTTAACAAATAGTGAACTAGCCCCAAGACATTATTTGTTACCCCAATGGGACATCAGGGTTGCAAATAATGTTAGAGGCTGGTGCTTTACTTTAAAGTATGCCACCTTCCCAATTTTACTTTTTTAAGATTGAAACTGTTTTTAAAAAGTTAGAACGGAGAGCATGATGGGGTTCAAGAAGTTGCAATGGGCACGAATTTGCCTATCCCTGGCCTAGATGGATCAACAGATATGTAGCATAATATTGAGATCGGTTTAAGTGTTCCAAAGCTCAGTAAGCAGTAAATCTTTGTGATTTTGGAAATAGCATATGGTTTGCTTTTCTTTGAAGTATCCTTGGGATAAAGCAGCTAGCAAAATAGTTAAATGTCCTACCCATACAATTTTTATATTTTTTAGACTTTGTTTTTTAAATAAATTGTACATGTTATGTAAAATGCATTGTGAAGGTTGCAGATAATTTGCTGTCAGTTTGGTTGAAATTAACATTTTGTTCTGTTTCTGATACTATTAAGTGGAAAACCGTTTACCTCTATACATTCTTTTGTGTCTTCCAGAAGAAAAAATCTTTATTATCCTGAAACCACAGCTACATCAGGGTTGTTTCTAAGGGCTTTGTTTTGCTGACCTTCTTCAGAAATTAAGTATTATAATTGTTCTACAAATGACAGTACAGAGCAGAAAATGTTATATTAGAAGTATACTTGGCTGGGTTTTTCCCCCGTTAGTAATTCTAATTATGGACCAAATCTAAGCCTAATCTTGCATATTTAAATTTAATCTTGTTGCCTCCTGGTTTGCAGGGAGGGAAGGGACAATTTTGGGGGATTTTTTTTCTCAACATTTTATTCCCGCCATTGGAAAATCCAATTTGTTTATGATTTTTTTGTTATTGTTAAAGAGCATTTATGAAAGCAATCTGTGATACAACTATTTTTCTGAAATAAAAAAAGGCATAGAATGATGAAAAGTACCATTGTTCATTCACTACTAATTTATTCTTCACCATGAACTATGAAAGCATAACCAGCTTGGCATTCATTGCTGCAGGCTTCCTGCTTGCCTGGCTGAGTGATATCAGGGTATTTGAATATGTTTGAAACTCCTGTGGAATATGTTGAGATTGTAAGAAGTCCCAAAGAAGAAAATCTTGGACAGAGTAAGCATAGTGGCTCTGTTGAAACATATAAAATAAAACTTGCTTGGTTCTTATATGTATACCTAAGTAAGTTTTATCCTTTCTTAAATTAATGTACTTGCTTCAGGCAACAGGAAGGAAATCATATTAACAACAGACTGCCATTAAATGTCTTCCCCTCCCACTTTAGAGACTGGAAAGTTCTGAATCCTGAGGTTCTTGTAATACAGATGTGAGCGTTCCAACCCTCCATCCCGAATTCAGCACTCAGAGACAAAGTCCATCCAAGTAAGAATTTATTAGAGAAGTCATACTGGCACGTCTGGGGGAAAACCCGAATCTGAATTCCCGTATTTCCCCCCCCACACACACACTAAAACTCACATCCTGCCCCTACTGATGGCCCTCAAGTTACACTCTCCAATCCACCTCAGTTCTGAACTCCCGCCAAGTCCAGTCACTCCCTTCTAAGCTCCAGCGACTCAGCCTTGAGCTCTGCCAAAAGAATGTTGTTGTGGCTATCTTCTCTTTTCACTATTCTTCCATTCCCACAGCATGTCCATCCCCCACTGTGGCAGCCCTACATCTGAATCAAGATGGATCCAGGGCTGACAACATGTTTTCAACTTCACATAAGATGAACGGCTAAGGTATTTCACTTTTCTGTGCATTTGTTATAATAATAAAATACATTTACATGCCACCTGACTCCCAGCAACTCTGGATGGTTTGCAAATTGTTCAAAACATTTTAAAACAAGTAACAACCCAATTTTGGATGAAAGCGAAGAAAAGGGGTGTCAATTGCACTCACTGAAGGCCTCAGTGAAAAGCCACACATTTGGGACCCATTAGATCTCGGGAGAACCACATCCCAGAGCACAGGCACTGCTACAGAAAAGGCACACTTCCAGGGACTGAAAGAGGGAACCCAGAGCATGTTCAGTGAGAGCATGCCAGACTGAACCAGCTGGGATATACTGTGAGAGACAGGCATATTGTTCATAACCGATTAAAATATTGCTAAAGGTCTTTTAAAGTATAGTTACAGAATCCCACAAGTGTCATTTGCTCCCCAAGCAATAAAAGAAGAACTACCCATAATTATATGCATTGAGATAACCACCCTCACTCTTAGAAGGATCAGAGCTGTGAAATACTTGTTTTTTTCAAGTAATCTGGAAAATGATAACTTGAGTATATGGTAGAAAAAAGAAGGAATACCAGAGCAGCTTCCAATAATTAGCGTTTTTAATCGAAATTGATCTTGTACAGCTGGTAACTGCTAGTTTTGATCAATACTGGAAAGCTTTGAGGAAGTCAGGGTATCTTATCTGATCTTCTCCATGAGAACACATTTTAATAAGCTGTAAAAAAGAGAGAGAAGCCAATGAAAAGTTGCAAATGCTATGTTTTTAAATTGCCACATGTCCTCTAAGAGCATGTACAATAAATATGCAGTAGTAAGATTTTTGTTTCTAATCTTCAGAGTAGAACAAAACAAAGACAGGTCGTTTCCTTTTCTAATACTTTTTTTTTAATTGCTGGATTCTTGGGGTATGTGAAAACGCAAACATAATATGCTATTGGAAGAAGGAAACAATTGGCTGCCTTCCAATAACTGAAATAATACTTTTACCCAGATAACTTTTTTATCATTTTTTCTCCTCACATTTCAATTTTATTTTCCAATCCATTACTTATTTCAAAATCCAAATAAAGTGCCTGCTATTCAAATAACATCTGATATCTAAGTAACATACTGATTAAAGTAGGGAAAAAATCAGGGATAATTAATGTTCTTTTAAACTGAAATGAAAAAGAATAACAAAATGATTTGTAATGAACATGTAAAATTAAGTTAAATACAGACTGTCCTTGAATTATGATGATTTATTCAATGACTGTTTGAAGTTACAGCTGTGCTGAACAAATAGTACTTATATCCAGTCTCTGAAGTTATGGCTGTTGCAGGGCCCCCTTTGACCCATGATCAAAATTCAGGTGTTTAGCAGTCCACCCACACAACTGCAGGGACACTCTAACATCTGCCACCCACCTATCTTCCCCATTTCTGCCCTTTTGGCTCCCTGTACTCCACAGCCCTTGCCGCTGTGGGCTTCACCACCTTAGCTGAACTTTACCATATTGCTCTCACTGCTGACTTAGTGTGCCTGGCCTTTGCGAGGTTGTTGCTGATGGCCACATGTGACTTTTTCCCAATGTCACAAGTTGCAGTATCCTTGTGAGACCTGAGCAAGAAGGTCTCAAGTGGCCAGGCATGGCTCAGCAGCAGCAGTGGCAGGAAGACGGCAAAGTTCAGCTGCAGCACCAGGGGCTTCTGAATGCAGGGTCACTTAAGCTGGGGTGGCTGGGGCTTCTTGGGACTGCTGGGGCTTTGCATCACATTGCTGGGCCAGGCTTTGGCTTCCAAAGGTTGCTGCAGCTCATGCGTTTCTTGCAGCCTCTGTGCATGCAATGACAATTGACATCGAGGTCAACTGCAGAATGGCCAAGGCAAGCTCTGCATTTGGCAGACTATTGACCAACATGTGGGGCTGCCATGGAATAAGCCTTGCTACAAAGCTCAAAGTCTTCCGAGCAGTAGTGCTAACTACTACCCTGATGTATGCCAGTGAGACTTGGACTGTATATAGGAGGCATGCTAGGCAATTGAACCACTTCCACATGACTTGCCTCCGCAGACTTCTGAGGATCCAGTGGCAGACAAGGTGCCAGACACAGAAGTCCTCTCCAGAGCAGGCCTTCCATCAGATCACACCCTGTTGATCAAAGCTCAGACATGCTGGGCAGGCCATGTTGCAAGTATGCCAGACCACCGCATCACCAAACAGCTACTCTATGGTGAGCTGTCTTAAGGAAAGCAATCACACTGGGGACAAAGAAAGTGATACAAAGGCTCACTGAAAGCCTCTCTCAAGTCCCTAGATATTGACACCACCTCCCGGGAAACCCTGGCACAAGATCGATCAACATGGCGCATGTTGATCCACCAAGGCTGCCAGACATTTGAAGATAGAAGGATAACCATAGCACAAGAGGAGTGAGCACTCCACAAACCCAGAGCTGCAAATGCTGCAATAATGGTGGCCCACACATGTCTGCCTGACATTGTGGCAGAACATTCCATGCCCG